TTGTATTTAGATACAATATTTATTTCTAATTTTTCTAGTTGAATTGTTCACCTAATCCGTTATTGTACGTAATTAGGTTATAATAAAATTAATATTTTCTATGAATACTACCTTTATAAAGATTGATGCAGTAAAATGGTGGCCAACGTGACCTTTGCACTGGCAATGAGTAATGAAACTGATTAATTAAACTGTTCATTATTTATTTTATTTACATTATTCAGACTATTGTCCTCGTCTTTGTCGCCATATTTATCACAACGTTTCGGCCGTTATACGCTCCGGCCTTCATCAGGTGGTTGGAATGCCGAAATGAACCCTTTATTTCGCTCACCGGGGTAGACTGTTCTAGTTCCACGTGCCATGTTTGATGGATGTCAGTTATCAGTTATCTCCTGTTAATTAAAAGTTCTCCACTGCCTTAACTCACACTCTTTGGGTCCTGTCACAGGATCTAACCAACGCCTTTATCCTCTGTGCCATGTGTCCTTGAGCGAAATAAAGGGTTCAGTTCGACATTCCAACCACCTGAAGAAGGCCGAAACGTTGTGATAAATATGGCGACAAAGATGAGGACAATAGTCCGAATAATGTACATAATACCTCATCTCAGAAATATAGACAGACCTTTATTTTATTTGGGAATTTTAGATCGATTTATTGGATACATGGTTTCAAAACATTTGGTTCATTGCATCTCAATATTAAAACTTGCTAATAGTTGCCGTCATTTTTTACAGTACCTGTAAAAAGAGTTATATATATATATATATATATATATATATATATATATATATATATATATATATATATATATAAGAAATTCAGATAACTTCAGATATCAATATTATATACAGATCTCCCGTCTAAATCGATAACAAATCAGTATTTTTCGATTATAACAAATGTCGCGACCTATGTAAGGTCTAAAGAATGTCAATTAGCAAAAATTATGCAAAATAAAAAAATAAAGTCCCTATGTTTTACGAGTCGACCAGTGGACATAGTGCCACAAAGGTTTAATGGAATGAATTACCTTATATACTCGAGTCTGGTGAGTGTTTTCACGTAAAAGATAGGCGGCCGCATTATACACAGATAATTTTTCTGAAAAGCTTAAAAATCTTGCATTTTCGGTGACACAGTTAATTTTTTTCTCATGGGCTTAAAATTTAAGCAAAAACAAAAAAAATTCAGGGGTGCACACAATACATGAAGTCGGTTTATACACAAGTATTTCCGGTGAGATAGCAATTTCATAGCCATTATTTAAATTCATTGGTTTTAGGGGATACTTTTTGTAGATTAGCATCCGTTAAACCTTACTCAAGCCACGAAATTTACCAGAATTGTAAAATATTAATTTAGAATTAGGGTCTTGTTCATAAAAATAACCGCAATTTTAAATCGATCCTTCACCTATTTAAAAGATTATCTGTACTTAGTTTTTGTTTAAAACCATCTTAAAAGCTGCACTCCGTGCAAAATTTCAAGCTAGCGGAGGGTTAAACTACATGGACCTCTGATCCAGATTAGAAATCAGCAATGATAATTTTGAAGAAATAACTTTGAATTTCTCAATTCACTCCATGGAACTTCAAACACTGACTTTAACACTGATTCGTACTATGAGTCCAATTCCGTCCAAGAGATCGATTTGGGCTAAAACCCTGATTTTACTGGGTAAATATATTTGAATTGCTTTCCCTGTTTTTGTTTTTTTAGTTTTTGTTTTTTTAGCTTTTGTTTGTTTTTTTTTTTTGTTGTTTGATTTTTTTAACAGTAAAATATTCGAGATATTATTATTTTCAATACTTAAGAAAATTAAAAAAAACAAAAACAAAAAAAACCCCAGAAAATCAAGGACATGTAACTAATAAAAATAACGTTTAGAGTAAAAAGAAATAATGACGGATCTAATCTAGCTCCTGCGGTGGACTAATTAAACGTCTAACGCAAAATTAAAGGGAGGTTAGTAAACAACAATGATAATTTTGAAGAAATAACTTTGAATACTTCAATTCACTCCATGGAACTTCAAAACCTCACTTTAACTCTGATTCGGGCTATAAGTCCAATTCCGGCCAAAATTCCTATTCAGGCCGAAAATTGAGTTCTTCAAATCACACACTGTCATGAAACCTCTCACTTTAACTGATTCCTTGGCATTTTGAAGAAATAAAATTGATTTCCTTAATTCACAGTTTTGGAGATATTTTAAACTGCATTTACAACATTTTTTTTTTAATTCAAAGATTTTGTGTTCCTTTAAACTCAATATAAATTAAAATCTTTTAAATCACTATTTTTTTTTCCAGTTATTTTAAAATTTGTATTTTAACTCTTCCCTCCTCATCCGGACACAAATCCACCAGATGAAGATCAAATTTTCAATCACGGGATAATCCCGAATCCAAAAAGTTATATGTCTATGTAGAGAAAGTATGGCCCGGGTTAGAGAGATTTCAGACACACGGACAGACAGAATTTTTCATTTATTTATTTAGATATCAAATTTGAATGTCTTTATGTTATCTGAGTACGAATGATGTTATTTTTAAATATATTTTTTAATTTTGGGAATTTTAAAACTTTTATACTTTTTTTTTTAATACTTGTTTTTTCTCAGAGACATTTGCACAGGGATTAAGAAATAATTATTTATCTTAAATGAAGAACAAACATAAATATATATACATACACAACTCTATTTAAATTCGGTAATACTACAACGTGATATCGCAAAATGTACTTTAATCGAAATGCAACAGAAATCAGTGACATTTTGTAAATGACTAAAATAATTAAAAAAAAATATTTACAAAATGTCAGGGATCGATTTGACAACTATCTTTTTCTAATTTTAGAGAGAAGTGATTTTTTTTTCTTTCCATTTTCCTTAAAACATCCTCATGACTTACATGCTCTGTCGATGGTATTCTCAGCGTTCTTCTTTAGAACTAAATCTCTGTGGAGTCAAGTCGCCTTTTCCTCTGTGAGGAAAATGTCCAGCATTTACTTCCGTGTAGGAATTACATAAGAGAGATTTTGGCTGATTATTTAACTAATGTAAGAATTTAATTTTTTTTTTTTTTTGATTATTCGTTTTGAAAACAAAATCTACCCAAAGATCATTATCACCATTTTTAAATAATGGTAATTTTCATTTTATTTATTTTATAATTTTTTTTTTACCTAATTTTTATGTGTTATTATTAATCAAGCTGAATGGTTTTGCATTTTATAATAAATCAAAATTGCAAGATCATTGCTACAATTGTTACGCGAAGTGTATCAACGGATAATATTTTTAAAGTTATGTTTCGTTCTGTTTATATTTAGTATGTATCTAGTTACATGCCTTCCAAGAGATAAGTAATGTATTAAGAAACATGAAAATTTCGTTAGAAACAAAGAAAAAGAGTACAGACCTGTAATGTATTATCAGTCTTCTCGTATAGCAATGAATGCTCGACAGTCTCTTCACAGATGAAGAAGAGACTTGAAGCAGCAAAAATGTGGTTCTACAAAAGGATGCTGAGAACATGGAACGAAAATGTGAGCAACGACAACATTTTAGAGAAAATTGAAACAAAATGATCACTTAACATCAAGTGAAATTTCTAGGGCACATCACGAGGAAAGAGTGCTCACAGGACAAGTTAGAGGGACAGAAGGAAACATATAACCTATGTGGCAAGCTTGAGTAAATGGATGGCAGCACAGGCTTTAGAAGAGATAATAAAATTAAAAATAAAAAATTATTAAGAGCTCCAAAGGCCAAGAAATTGTGGAGAGCCATGATCGCTAACGATCTGAAAGAAACACGGCACATAGAAAACGTCGTATTTACAAAAGAATAAATTAACAGGTATTTTTAATCAATTCACTCCAAGAAAGGCAATAATACCACTAAGTCGGAAGGGTCTACTGGGAGAGAAAGAGAATGAAAAGAATGAATCGGATACCCAATCCTAAACAGGAAACAACTCTATATGCAAGCTGCTAGTGGTCCTCTGGTGGCAGCCCCTGGCAGGCCAACTGTCGGTCTCTAGCGGACCGCCATTGGTGATATTGCCGACAGCGGGCCACCAGCGGTAAACGCCAGTGGTATGCCACCCAGTGGTAGTTTGGTGGCTTGCGTTTAGGGAAGTGTATCTCTGTTCCTGTTCAAAAGACCGGGGAGGCGTGTGAAGCGGACGATAGGCGAGCCTATCAGGATTACTCCGCGTGAGTTTTTGATAGGTGTGTGTATATGTATTGGTTATTTCGTTTCTCTCTGTCACGCCAGAAGTGTTTTTTTTTTTCTCGTCTGAGTCCATCCTTCAAATCTACAATTTGTCTTTACACTAAATACTGTTGCCATATCTGGTCTGGTGCCCCCGCTGTTCATCTTGAGGTTCTCGACAAAATCCAAAAACGGATATGCAATGTGATGGGTCCTGCTCTGGCATCTCGATTCCAGTCACTTCCTCACAGATCCTAGATCCCCGTTCTTCTTTATATCCTTTCCTCAAACACCCCTCTTTACTCTTAATCTCACTCTCTATAACCCCTTGCGTGCTAGTGGCACTCCCGCCTTGCTTTGGGTGAAACGTTGAAAAAAAAAACCTAACAAAGATGCTGTAAGTGAAACACATGGCTTTATAGCAGGAAAGTCCACAATGTTCACGTGATAAATTATTGCTAATTTCCCGCAAAAGAAACGGAAAAAAAAAAAAAAATGTCACCATTACCGGCAAAACATGCACTTCTCGTTTGGTTAATCGGCTTCGATTACAGGGTGACCGTCTGCTTTGGCTTAAAAAAAAAAAAAGATGCGACACATTGATGCACTTTGAGTAAAAAATCGCCATCGGACTATTTCATCCCTTACCCGGACTCCTGTTACATAAATAATGTAACAGTCACGCGCGGGCACACGAAATATGTTCCCGTCTAAATGTGCGCACGCGCGCTGCTACCTGACAAATGGAGCGTTGGCATGAAATTCGAACAAGATGGCCCTTGCTGGCAGGCGAAAGATCAACTTGGACGCCTGCCACAAGCGGTCGGAGGTGAAAGACGCTAACGAACGAAGCGAGATAATTTATTCATTTCTCTTTCTGTAAGCTTGACCATCAAATGGGATAGACTTATTATTGATGCCGTCCACTTTCAACTTTTGCTCATTACTTTTGGAGCGTGAGTGAAGAGTGGCTACAGAATGTCCGATTTGGAAATAAAATAAATGAATATAAAAATAAAATACCTCTATAAAATAACACAAATTGAGAAGTCCGACTCACCATAAAACAGACTTCTAAGCTAAAATCAAAATCATCTAACTTCCGGTCGTTTCTTTGGTTACATTATTCTCTGGTTATGGCTGGCGTTTGACTGAAGGTTTCATGCAATAACACAAATTTACTTAGAGATCGATGCGGACTCCGACTGAAGTGTTCGTGTTGTTATAGTGGAGGATTTTTTTTATCTTTTTGAAATCATACTTTTTACCAGAAATACGAATTCACATCAACGTTCATGGAAAATGGGTGAATAAATAAACTAAAATGAATATAATTGAAGAATTCGTCTGCTGGGGAACTTCTCTTAACACGCGATTGGTGGCATTGTATAAAGTAGTATAAAAAAGAAAGACTTAATTCCTCTTTCTCTCTATCTCTCTCTCTCTATCTTTTCAATTACAGGATGCCATAATGGCAAGACGTGTCTTGTTTCCTATTTGGGGAGACTTATTCTCCTCCCGGGAAGTAACTTTTAGTCAATACACACACACACACACACACACACACACACACACACACAATCTTTTCTCTCTCTTTTTCTTTCTTTCTCTCTCTCTCAACTTTTCTCTCTCTCTCTTTTCTTTCTCTCTCTCTCTCTTTTCTTTCTCTCTCTCTCTCTTTTCTTTCTCTCTCTCTCTTTTCTTTCTCTCTCTCTCTTTTCTTTCTCTCTCTCCCTTTTTTCTCTCTTTTTCTTTGTCTCTCTCTCTTTTTCTTTGTCTCTCTCTCTTTTTCTTTGTCTCTCTCTCTTTTTCTTTGTCTCTCTCTTTTTCTTTGTCTCTCTGTCTCTCTCTCTTTTTTTCTTTCTCTCTCTCTCTTTTCCTTTGTCTCTCTCTCTCTCCCTTTTTCCTTTGTCTCTCTCTCTCCCTTTTTCCTTTGTCTCTCTCTCTCCCTTTTTCCTTTGTCTCTCTCTCTCCCTTTTTCCTTTGTCTCTCTCTCTCCCTTTTTCCTTTGTCTCTCTCTCTCCCTTTTTCCTTTGTCTCTCTCTCCCTTTTCCTTTGTCTCTCTCTCTCCCCTTTTCTCTCTTTTTCTCTCTCTCTCCCTTTTCCTTTGTCTCTCTCTCTCCCTTTTCCTTTGTCTCTCTCTCTCCCTTTTCATTTTCTCTCTCTCTCCCTTTTTCCTTTCTCTCTCTCTCTCCCTTTTTCTCTCTCTCTCCTTTTCCTTTCTCTCTCTCTCTCCCTTTTCTTTCTCTCTCTCTCTCTTTCTCTCTCTTTTCTCTCTCTCTTTCTCTCTCTTTTCTCTCTCTCTCTCTTCTCTCTCTCTCTCTCTCTTTTCTCTCTCTCTCTCTTTTCTCTCTCTCTCTTTTTCTCTCTCTCTCTCTCTCTTTTTCTCTCTCTCTTTTCTCTCTCTCTCTTTCTCTCTCTCTCTCTCTTTCTCTTTTTCTCTTTTCTCTTTCTCTTTTTCTTTTTCTCTCTCTCTCTCTTTCACGACGTTCTTTTTCGAATATCTTTATTATACTTAGTGATGTTAGATTTCCCTGATGACTCATTAAACACTCTGATAGTGAACGACATAACTGCTCATTAATGTATTGTGGTGGGGGTATGAGAATTACCACCCCAAACAAATTATCCTGAATCTGTAGTGGATGCATAAAGCACCGTACAAAGATCAAGAGTGGCGACCCACACACACCCATCAGCATCAAACGTACCCTTCAGAATAACCTACCCTGCAAACATAACATCGACACAGGTGGAGCAGAAAACTGCTACAGTCTGTTTTCCTTACGTCAAGGGCTTGTCGGAAAAGATCAAGAAGACCTGCGCTCTATACAACACTAAGTTTCCGTACGATCATTGAAGTTAAGCAACGTCGAGGCTGGTCACCTAGATGTCACCTAAATGGGTGACCACGTCATCTAGATGAGTGACGACCGAGGTATACCAGTTGCTGTAAACTTGAATGTACGGGTAGTGTAATGGATAACGGCTCGAAATTGTTAATCTGTTTAATTTCGGTAGAGAGGGGGTGTCTGTTTTGCTTAGATTTTGCTAGTGGGGATAGCTTTACGTAGATATCGGCAGAGGAGGTCTGTCTTGCGTGGATTTGGGCTGAGTGGTGAGTCTATAGTTTAGGGTCAAGAGGTCTGCTTTACGTAGAGTTCGCCAGCGTGTACTGCTTTGCGTAGATTTCACTAGAAGAGGCTGCTTTACATAGCATTGGGAACAGGGGACTGCTTTGTGTTGAGAGGTCTGATTTGTGTAGATTTTTCTAGAGGGGTCTGATTTGCGTAGAGAGGGTTGCTGTGCGTAGATTTCGCTAGAGAGGGCTGCTATGCACAGATGTGAGCTTTGCGTAGATGGACCTGCTTTGCATACATTTCGCTAGAGAGGGCTGTTGTATGTAAATTTCGCTAGAGAGGGCAGCTATGCGTAGAGGTGTGGGCTTTGAGTAGATGGGTCTGCTTTGGTTAGATTTCGCTAGAGAGGGCTGCTATGCGTAGAGATGTGGGCTTTGCGTAGATTGGTCTGCTTTGCATACATTTCGCTAGAAAGGGCTGCTGTGCGTAGATTTCGCTAGAGAGGGTTTCTTTGCGTAGACTTAAAAAAAATGTTGCCCTGAGCATTTTTTTTTTTTTTTGCTGTTCTCTACCGTTAATAGACCTGAACAGTTCGACTATGTAGTGGACTCTCTTTGTTGACGTAGAAAAATGTGACACTGTATCAATAATTCATTGGGGTGATTCTTAACGGACATATATCAACTTACGCCTCTTTTTTGCATGTTTTTATTCTCCCCATTTTTAAAATGAGCAAACTGGTCTCTGTATTCTGATATAATGATCTTTGGTGAAATTAGGCCCCAATTGTAAAAAAAAAATCGTGTTTTTATATTTTTGCTGCAAATACTCGATAACAAAAAATGTATAAATTTACTTTCAATGTGTTTGTTTCATTACAATTCTAATCACCACATTTTTAAACAATAAACATTGCCGATGAGCGGAGGTAGCTTAAATTAATAGCGGTATTAAGTTAAAAAAACATCCTTTTGACACCCCGAATGCTAAAACTCGCATTAAATAAAGTGGACATACATTGAAATTAGGCCCTTTTCACAATGTTTATTCTCATTTCAGAAAAAAATGCACTTACCCACACCGAGAAATGAAAAAAATGGCAAGAAAAAGAAAATTAACAAAAGTCAGTCGGGCTTTGATTAATAAAAATCCACATGGGTTTTTGAAACTATTTATTTCATTCGGTGTTCCAAATAAGTATGAGTTTGAAATTAGACAAGACACAAACAGCAATACACAAGCGTTTTGTGTTCAGTTTTGACTTCCTGTAGAGGGGTTCATTCATAACCGGATGTTTAGATGTAATTCTTAATAAATTATTGCACTGCAAGTCGGATGAGTCAGATCAATGCGTTCTTTCTGATAAGTTGTTGATCATTCAATGCTGATCGTTAAGTGGGGCGGGATAAGAAAAAAAGAAAGAAAAGAAAAACAATGCAATGTCTCGTAAATCGAATTTTTGCCCACAGGAAAGGCTTCCTGAAATTGTTCATTTCCAAAGCCCTACACATCCGTTTTCTTGCTTTTTTTGCTATTCTACGTCGATAAGGCAGCCTTATTGAATTATTTAACCAAATAAACACTTTATGTGTCGTGGTAAGTTAGATTCTGGATGGCTGATCGTCTGATGAGTCAGTCTTTTCAGACAATCACTTTGGCTTGTTTTACGGAGTGGGATTTTTATGGATTTTATAAGTATTCTATTGTCCGTTGGCTCATCATGATTTATTAAGATTGTTGCATTTAATCCTTCTTTCTGTTGGCATTCTTGTGGGATTGCCCCACTGTCAAAAAAAAAAAACAAAAAAAAAAATACAACTTCTGCTAATGTCTACTAGATAACGTCTCTCTCTCTCTCTCTGCTTCTTCTCTCTCTAATTTTTCTCTTTCACTCTCTGCATTTCTCTCTCACCTCTGTCTCTCGCGCGCAGTGTTTTCTCTCTTTTTCTTTCCTCTCTCTCTCTCTTACAGTTGGCGTTCTAGTGGGATTGATCGACTATAAAATAAATAAAAAATTCTAATGTCTGCTGGATAACGTCACTCTCTCTCTGCTTTTTTCTCGTTCCCTATTTTTTCCTCTCACTCTCTGCATTTCTCTCTCACGCGCGGTGTTTTTCTCTCTCTTTTTTCTTTTCTCTCTTTTTTCTTTTCTCTCTTTTTTCTTTTCTCTCTCTTTTTCTCTTTTCTCTCTCTTTTTTTCTTTTCTCTCTCTTTTTTTCTTTTCTCTCTCTTTTTTTCTTTTCTCTTTTTTCCATCTATCTCCTTTCTCTCTCTACTTCTTTTCTGCTTTTCTTCTCTCTCTTTACTTTCTCCTCTCTCTCTCTTAGTATCTCTCCCTTTCTCTTTCGTTCTCTCTCTTTCCTCCACTGTCTTAA